TCAAACCCTAACTGCACCAATCCATTTTTACAGCTAAAACTTTAAACTAAAACATGCCATATTATAGATCTAGTGCATAGATAATTTCACAAGGATTCCAAAAAGTCCTCATTTTCTATTTTATGATTTTTGTATGAATTACTATGAATTTTCAAAGTGGAGCATTCAAATCTGAAAAAATCAGAGAAAGGAAATTTAAATCTTGCATCGAGGACCCTGCGGAAAATATAAATCAAATGTCAGCGAAGAGGTCCTTATGAGTACTATTCACATCAGTCACTAGTTCTTCACTTAACCCCCTCCCTTTCCCTTATTGTCGCGCGAGGTCCTTCTTCTTCCTCCATCAGACAGGAATGGAGCAGCAGCCAGCCGAGGAGACGGAGGGCTCGGCCAGGGGGGCAGCGGCCGGTGGAGGCAAGGAGGGGACGCGCTGGGGCTTGGCCGCGCCTGTCCTTGGCCAGCCACGCTGCAGGCAACAGCAGCGCATCAGCTAAGCAGTGCCAGGACGGCATTGCCGGCAGCGACAGGCCCGGCGACAGCAAGCGCACGGTGGGGCTCGGCTCCGACTAGGGCTTGGAGAGGCGGTCGTGGAGCCGTAGGAATGCTCGGTGGTGGCGCTGGAGGGCTATAGGGGAAAGAGCAGCGGCGGCAATGGAGCTCCAGCTTGCCTCAGCCATGGCGAGCGAGACTGAGAGGGAGAGGGAAAGAACGGAAGAGCAACAGAGGGGCGAGCGCTCGGCTTGGTCCTGTACAATGAGATTCAAAACTCAATTCTACCCCAAAAACGCGACTGAACATCAATCTTTGCCCTTTCGTATCTCCTGATCCGTTTCGTTTTGGCACAAGCGGTAGTAACGAAAGTTGTAGAGCTACGTGATATCTACAACTTTGCTTAAAGCATCAAAGTCTGTTTCGGCCTTGTTTGAGAGATATACGGATACGAAGCGGGGTACACGAAAACTGAAAACTCAGTTTCAGTCCATTAGGGACTTAGCCAAATTTTTGAGCTCCAAAACAGCCATGGAATCTAACTTGGGGGCTTGGTTTGACTTGCTTCCAAGCTTATCTAGCTCTTGGTCCTAAAATAAAGTTTGTTCTACTCCACTCAAACTTTAACTTTGATTTAAGGTGCAACTCCATGCAAGCATTGTAAGTGATTGGTCAACACAGGTCAAAGTAGCATCACGGTAAAGCTTAAATCCAAGTTTTAGACCGATTGAGGTATTTTCTTGTCCTCCGCTCAACACGAACCCTTAATAACTTTTGTTCATGAGTGTAAGTAGAGCTGTTTGAGCAAGGTTGCAATGTTTGTTTGACGACCTATCATTTCATTCACTTAATAACGCAATCCAAGAAAGATTATAACTTATCATTTTATGTGACTTCTTGATTCCAAACTCCATGGAACTTTTCCAATCATCCATGTGGGTGGAAATTGATGTGAGGCACATGAAAGAGGCACCTTCAACATTACTTAGGTATGTATCCGAAAAGGGCCAATATGCAAGCAATGTGTGTTGCCCAAGTTTAAGTTGGAGCTCATTTTTGTAGATTTGATCTTGACACCTTCATAACCACTTAACATGTCATGTTTGAGCTTAAGCCCATTGCTTAACTAGGGACAAACACCTAGGGTGTTACAAACTTCTTTGTGCTATTGGAAGAGATGCAAATAATCAGATGTATCCCATTGCCTAGGCTGTGGTAGACAAGGAAAATAATGTCAATTGGGACTAGTTCTGTGACTTGCTGTGCAGAGACATTCAGGTTGGTGATGGAAGGGACTGGGTATTCATTTCAGACCAGCAAAAAGGTATTCTCAATGCTGTTGAGAAATGGGCACCAGAGGCGGAGCACAGGAACTGTGCAAGACATATTTATGCCAATTGGAAAAAAAAGTTCAGTGACAAAGAATGGCAGAAAAAATTCTGAGCATATGCCAAGGCTCCTTGCATTATGCTTTTCAACCATGCAAGAGCCAAGCTAGCAGAAGACACTAGAGAAGGAGCTCAGGCAATCATGAAAACACACCCACAACACTGGAGCAGGGCCTGGTTCAGGTTAGGAAGCAACTGTGATTCAGTTGATAATAATATGTGTGAGTCATTTAATAAGTGGATAGTAGAAGCTAAATTTTTTTCCAATCATTACTATGCTTGAGGCAATCAGAAGGAAGGTCATGATTAGGATTCAAGAGCAAGGGACCAAAGCAGATAGGTGGATGGGTGCCATATGCCCACATATCATGAGAAAGCTAAACACTTACATTACAATGGCTGGCTACCGTCATGCTATTAGTAATGGAGCAGACAAGTTTGAAGTGAAACATTTTGACAATACGTTCACAGTTGACTTACAACAAAAGACATGCTCTTGTAGGTATTGGCAGCTAGCTGGTTTACCATGTTGTCATGCAATATCCAGCATATACTGGAAAACCAATGTTTTGGATGACTATATTGCAGATTGTTTCAGAGTAGAACACTTCAAAAATACTTATGCTCATTGTCTTGAACCTCTGGAAGGGATTGAAGGTTGGCCCATATCTGATAGGACAAAATTGAGGGCACCAGGTTATATTAAAATGCCTGGGCGACCTAAGAAAGAGAGGACAAGAGAACCAACTGAGAAGCCCAAAGCAACAAAAATGTCTAGGGTAGGCACTGTGATTAGGTGCGGAAAATGTAAAGGCACTGGACACAATGCTTCCACTTGTGGAAGGAGGACTGACTCTGCTCAATCAGGTGGTGCACAGTCTGCTCAATCAGGTGGTGCACAGTCTGCTCAATCAGGTCCTGCTCATTCTAATCAACCTGCTGTCCCTCGTGCATCTCAAAATACAAATGTCTCAGTGCGTGTGCCATCTACCCAGCAAGATAGTAATGCAAGGAAAAGAAAGAGTTACACAGCCTTGACTCATAGATCCGAAAGTTTAGATGGAACGACTACAATTAGGCAACAGGTAATACACTTGCTAGTAATGTTTGATAAGTTTACACACCAATTGTCAATATGTTCACATGTGCACATTTCCTATCTTTGTAGCCTCACGAAGTTCTCTAGGTCCTGGTTCACACACTAGAGCGAAGGCAAAGGTGGAGACTAGAGCTCGCTCAAGCATCTACTCAGAACCAAAGAAAGAAACACCGTGCTCAAGAACCAAAGAAAAAACGCAATGTGTCAATGCTTCTCCTTCCACCTTGGGACTCGCCAAGTTGTGGTTTTATTTGAGTACCAGACTATGTGTCATTATGCTTTATTTGATGTACCGGACTTAATGTCCTTTAGCTATCTGCAAACACTTTGGATTTTATCTTGCCTTCACCAAAATTACTTTAGCAAAAATCAGAATCCATAATGAAGACGAAATACCAAATCTCACTCACCCAAAGAAGCGACGAGCTCGAGCTCGGTCTTGTGTGCACTGCAAGGCCAGCTTTCGGCTCCGCCACATCACATCATCATTTCAGCTTTGTCAAGGCTCGGCTCATTTCGCCGACCGCCGCCCGCCGACGACACAGGTGAATGAAGCGAGGAAGGAGAAAACTCAAATGACGAACGCCGGATGCGGTCACGGGCAAAACCACGGTGGTTTCGTGTGTACAGGAGGTTTCGTGTCCGGTTTTAACGATTCAGGAGTCTAAATGCCCGGTTTTAGAATGAGAGAGGAAAAGTGAACCCGCCTTAATAGTTCAGTGGAGGTAAAAAGACTTTTTCCTTTCTTCTATTTGGTTTAGACCAGAGCAAACCGAGCCTAGTCCATCCCATATGCCCATTCATAGACCTGGTCGGGCATTGGCCCGCCTAGAACCCTAGTGGGATGTGGCTTGGACAAAGGTCCAACTACCCATAATTTTTTTTTCTTGCCCTGGCTTGACCCAAAATATTTCCTTTTTTGTTTTACAACTAAAAGATAGCAGGCGGCATGTCTGGGTCCTAGGTCGACTCACCCGTGGTCGCATTTTTGGCTCGAAATAACTAGGTTTTTTCAACCATACCAAAAAAAAAATGCTCAGTGTTTGATTTGGTTGTTTCTATTTGTCAAGATCGATAGCGTGGGCGGATCCAAGTGAAGGGGGGGGGGGCTCAAGCCCCCTCACCCATCCCAAACAAAGGCAAATCATCAGAGAGTCCCTATGATTTTTTAGGCAAAGTTCTATAGTGTAGAAATTTGAGACTTAAGATCGAAAGCAAAGCAGTGTTGTTCAGCCCCCTAAAATATTTTCTCGGATCCTTGCTGATCGATAGTGATGCTACAACAAGAGTATAGATTGATATAGCGAGGCATATACTGGGGTAGGAGAAGAAGCTAAGTAGCATCAGAAGTGATTAGATGGTTTTATTTGTGAAGCAAAAAAAAAAAAGTGTTCGTGTTGGATAACTTTTGTGCATTTGTGTAATCCTTCCCATGGATGTCTCTGTGCTTGTTTTATTTTTTTATCACAATAGAAAAATCTAGTTTTAATATTGATTGAGTTCAAAATTATTACTTTCTCTACATGATTTTTTGTTTGACTATTTATTTATTTATTTTACTATATCTTATGAAGCATTGATCTTTGTTCAAAAGACTCTACTCATCATTAAAACAATAGTCCTTGATATATTGTATTTTCTAAGAAACTACTCATCTCTACTCTAAATTATCTTATATCACTAGAATTTTTTTAAAAAAAACCTAAAAAAGGCTAGTACGCTCATTTGGAGATGATAGAAAGCCCACGGACTACGGGCAAGCCCAACAACGACGAATAGCAGGCAGCCCAGAAACGGCTGCTGAAGGGCCTGCTGGGTTTCCTTTCCGATTCCAAGTGGAGCGGGACACAACACAACAGAGCGGTGACGGAGAGCCTAGGTAACCCAACCCGGAAGCGACCTTCTTGAGCCGGAAGCAAAAAGCCTCCATATTGCTCTCGTCACCAATCCGCCACCACGCCACAAAATCCTCTCCTACTCGAGCAGTTCCGCTCCTCGCCGCCGCAGCCGCCGCCACCGCCACGATGCCGGAAGACGTGCAGATGAACGACTCGGAGCCCCAGCCTGCGGCCCCAGCTCCCGCCGCCGCGGCGCCGGCGCTCTCCACACTGCACCGTAAGCTCCCTCACTCCTTTCTTCCCCTCCCCCAAAACCCTAGAATTATCCATCTATCATCTCCGCGACCGCGAAATTCCTAAGATTTGGTGTGGCTGAAGCGGCGCTTATGTCAGATCTGAAGGAGATCGCGACCGTGATCGAGGCCGGCTCTCTGTCCAAGGAGGTCCGCCGGATCTCCCGCGCCTTCCGCCTCACCGTCGCGCTCCGCCGCCGCGTCGCCGCGCGGGACGTCTCTGCCTTCCTCGCCTTCGCGCTTCCCGCGTCCTCCGAAGCCTACGGACGCCTCACCGCCCTGGTGCCCAAGGTAAAATTCGCTTCTCCGCTATCTGCTGTTAAGCTATCGCCACTAAGAGATTGGATTAGAGAAGCTAGACTTTGGTACTCGCCAGATTTTGTTACGCCTGGGCCTCATCGTGTAAGGATGTTACTGATGCTGCCAATATATCGCCGTATCCTAGATTGAACATACATGTATGGTGCCTTGCATATTAATCACACTATCATAGATATTGACTTGTCACTGCACAATTTGATTTTTGCATGTCCATTATAGTTGATGGAAGGCATACATGTTTGTTTTCTCCCTGCAGTTACTTTACTTTTCATCTGAATAAGCTAGTCATGCATTCATGCTGCACTTCTAGCATCCTTATTTGTGCATTTGTTATGTAGCCTAAACTGTAAGACAAAAAAATGCCATCATGTATATATTCTCACAATTGGACACACTTGCGTTATTCCTATGGACTATGTATGATTTGCACCTGTGCAGTTGGCTTTTCTAGTCCAGAGTGCTTTTTTCATGCTTTAGTTTTTCTCCTGAATATATGGTAATTGTTTGGCACTGCTAGTTTCTTAGATCTACCATTACTAAGGAGTAAGTAGATCTTATAATCATTGGGATTTTCAACCTCTTGTGCTTTCATGGCTTCAACTTTCAAAAGCACTACCTTCTCAGTAACATGTGTTCATAATTTTGTTCATTGTCTTCATATACCTAGATTCTGACTTAGCTGAGGACTAATTAAAAGTCATTACTAGAGTTGAATCTTCAGAGCTTAGTTTTCCTTCTTTGTGCGACTACACCTACAATTTTGGAAAATGGTACAGTGAATTTTTACATTTGGTGGACTCTTAATTGGTATGTGATTCTTCTGTATGTGAAGAACTGAAGAAGCTCGTGCCCTGTTAAATAGATTTTGCTATGTCTGCTGCTTGTTCTGTAGTTTACTGTTAGAACCTACAATGCTATCACTCTGTTTTGTATGATAGAGTAAAAGAACAAGTGAGTTTTCTTTTTTACATTTATCACATTCATAACTCCTAATATTCATCTGTAATTTCTGTCAGGAAGATGATACTGAGATGGATGTTGATGCTGCGGCTCGGCAACTCAGATTTCAATCAAACATGGTCTCCTGAGATTGAAATATTTTGCTACTTGCTTGTACTGATTTTCCTTATTGATCAGAAGAAATATGATGAGGTACATCTGGAACCACTGATTTTCCTTATGTTTGATGTGTGAAACATAATAATTTGAATTTATGCTTTTGAATTAAGGCTAAAGCATGCGTAAATGTGAGCGTTGTTTTCGCCTGAAGAACCTAAACCGGAGAACTGTTGATGTCCTGGCATCTCGTCTGTACTTTTATTACTCTTATGTGTATGAGCTTACCAACAACCTTGCTGAAATACGTGGGTAAGTCAAATGTTTCATTCTTGCTCATTGTTCACTCCCAGGACCAATCCTGGCACTCTCTCCTACATTTGCTTTGGTTTTTTCTTTCAGGAATCTGCTTGCTCTACACAGAATGGCAACTTTGCACCGTGACGAGCTTGGCCAGGTTAATGCTGATTTTCTGCTCGCCAGTGCTCTATTAATATGTTGTGGAATTCTGCATACCTGATTGTATGTATTTGGTTCTTGATTGCAGGAAACACTACTCAATCTCCTCCTCCGCAATTACCTCCACTACAACTTGTATGATCAAGCAGAAAAGCTTAGATCAAAGGCACCTCGTTTTGAAGCACATTCCAATCAACAAGTAATCCATTTGCTTATTCTGTTTGTTGCGATGCAGCTTTTGGATTTACTGTGTTTTAGATTTAGCACGTGCAAACCATGTATGTAACTATTTCTATTAAGAAACTTCTAGTGGTTGCTCTGTTGGTGATTGAAGTATTATATTTTTCTTCAGAAAATTGATTTTGTAGGTAAGCTTTCTAAACAAATGCTACAAATTCCTTTTGTTGCAGTTTTGCCGATACTTGTTCTACTTGGGCAAAATTAGGACAATTCAGTTGGAGTACACTGATGCTAAAGAAAGCCTCCTGCAAGCTGCTCGTAAGGCACCAACAACAGCCCGTGGTTTTCGGATTCAGTGCAACAAATGGGCTATCATAGTGAGGCTGCTGCTTGGAGAGATTCCAGAGAGGACTGTTTTCATGCAGAAAGGAATGAAGAAAGCTCTGACACCTTACTTTGAGCTAACAAATGTAAGTAACTGGTCATGCATAAACTCTGGTACAATAGGTGAAATACTTTGTACTTACATCATACATGTGTCCTCCAGGCTGTCAGGGTTGGGGACCTTGAACTGTTCAGGGCCGTCGCGGACAAATTTGCAAGCACATTCAGCGCAGACAGGACTCGCAACTTGATTGTGAGGCTGCGCCACAATGTCATTCGAACTGGACTGCGCAACATCAGCATTTCTTACTCAAGGATCTCCCTTGCTGACATTGCTAAGAAGCTCAGACTAGACTCTGAGAACCCTATTGCTGATGCGGAGAGCATTGTAGCCAAGGCCATAAGAGATGGCGCAATTGACGCCACCATATATCATGCAAATGGCTGGATGGTTTCGAAGGAAACTGGTGATGTCTACTCGACAAATGAGCCACAGATTGCATTCAACTCCAGGATTGCGTTCTGCCTCAACATGCACAATGAGGCAGTCAAGGCGATGAGATTCCCCCCTAATTCTCACAAGGAAAAGGAGAGCGCTGAGAAGCGCCGAGAGAGGCTTCAGCAGGAGGAAGAACTGGCTAAGCACATGGCTGAGGAGGATGACGATGACTTCTAAATTAGCTGCCTTTTGAGCAACCACTTGCAATGTGGAGTGGAGTTGTTCAATTTGTGAACGCCTGGTTCAAAGCAATTCCCGTGCCTCTAGTCACTCGAGTCATGCAAACGCTGAAGTTTGAAATTCATCTGCTGTAATGTTATGTTGATCAGGATTTTGTATTAATTCCATACTTGAGTTTTTGTCTCCCTGAATTGTTGAACCAGGGAATTTACCCACCATGCAAGAAACGGCTTTGTTTATTTCACATGAGTTCTCTGCTCCCAGTTCGGGCTTTTCTGAAATGCTGTATTCTGTGTGTGCTCATTATTTCCCTGTCTTAATTTAATAAATAAATTATTATTATTATTGGTTGATTGAAGTTTGATTCTAAAGCAATTGATGTTGTATATGTTTCAAAACGGTATGCTTTTTAGCCGTATGGAACATAAAAAGACGGTTCGGATGTTCGATAGCAACAAAATCGATTGCAAGTTGGAACCTACAGCTGCCTGCAAATGAATCTCTACGCTGTTCCATCGAAGTTAGTAGTGTTGCTTATGTTAAGAAAAAAAAGTTAGTAGTGTTGCAGGGCTAGGCACACTCCTTTTATAAATTAATTTGTGACTTACTTTGAGATGCGTGTAAATTTACACAAGGAGTGCACAAAGAACGATTCTCTTATGAAATACGCTTATTAGACGGACGGAGTAGTAGTATCGTATACTCTGCTTTTGCACATATAATATGTCGCACGTTACAGGGCGTAGTTACAGAAGCCGTTGTTGCATTTCTTGTTGATATAATATAATATATAATATGTCGCACGTTACAGCTTATTACAGGGCGTAGTCACAGAAGCCGTTGCTGCATTTCTTGTTGCACTGGTTCCCGCACGCGCCGCACTGGTCCTTGTCGGCGAGCAGGTCGACGCAGCGGCCGCCGCAGCACGTGCTCCGATCGTGCTTGCAGACCTTGTTGCAGCCGCCGCAGTGGTCGGCGCTGGCGACCGTGTCCACGCACTGCCCGCCGCAGCACGTCGCGCCTGGGCTGCCCGGAGCGAAGCACACGGCGGCGGCTGACTTCTTGGAGCAAGCGTACGAAGACGGCGAGTTGGCAAGCAGGAAACGGCTCCTCCTGGTCCTGGCTTGTTGGCGACCTGCTGGGAGGGTACCGCCGGCGTCAGTGACCGTGCCAGCCGTTGCGGCAGCCAGCAACATCAGCAGGACGGTCGCCGTGAGTTTCGCCATGGTGGAGACTACTGACGGTGGCTGACTTCTTGTAGTGATCACTGACGGTGAGTAGTGTACTTGTGTGTGTTTGTACGTGTGTTGGGAATGTCTCGGAAGCGAAGCGCTTATATATAGAAGTGATGGATGGTGAGTGGAAGGTCAGAGGGTTAGTAGGGGTTGACTTTTGATGAAATTTGGAGTTGAGAGCAAGAGAGTCGATCGCCGGCCGGCTTGCTGCGGTTGGGTGCAAATCTGCTGATGAATTTACGGCCGCCATCACATGCATGCCATATATGCTTCAAATTACGGCGAAACAGAACAAACAGAGAATATGAACCTCCAGCGTACGTGGAATGCACCGCGTGATGCCTTCCATTTGACACACACAAATCACGCCAAGTTACCTGAAAGTACATGCATGTGCATACCTTGCTGGCTTGCTCAACAGGGAATTGAAGCATGCATATGCACATGATTCATCGTACTTAGAGTGTGGGTATTCCTCCCAGATTCAGGCGATTGAGAAACAGCGTGAAAATTAATCAAACATAAATACACGCTAGCAAACCGTAATTTTAGTGTCACAAGAGTTAGTTTGTACTCCCTCCGTCTGTGAAAGCATGTAATTCTAGCATGCTGCTTTTGTCCAAGAAAGCATGCAATTCTAGCCGGTGCATAGGTAGTTTTGTAGGTCTAGCCGGTGCATAGTTCATATCCAGCGTGTTTGGTTCGCGCGGCACGTAGTCATCCAATTGTTTTCCAGAGAACGATTTGATTCTACTAGTTAACTTATATTTGCAATTGGCCGTACGACGGAGAACTGATTGGTACCGAACAGTTCTGCAAACCAAACGCCAACGCCAGGTTCGGAGGTAGGATCGGATTGTTCCGTATCCATCTATCCCGCAAACCAAACACTCTGGTAATGTATCTAGTTCGAGTAAAAGAAAGTTCCAGCCTGTTTGGTTTGGAGAGTGAATCCATTTTGCATTGGCTGGTCAGGAATCACCCTCGATTTTGTCCGACATTTTTTTAGAATGACTTCGTCCAAGATTAGCTCGTTGTTAGTTCGTGCGACCGCCACACGTGGAACAGGTTCATGACGGACGAGTTGATGACGCGACGCAAACCAAATATCTCAGCTAGGCTCGGATGATTCTGAACTACCTCATGATGCAAACCAAACATGTTGTTTGTTCCCAGCATGTACCGTGGAGGCTGCATGATTACCTTCGCATTCTGATTATTATACTTTCCTGTTCTGATTAAACAGGAAGAAGGATCATTAACAACTTTGGGATTCTAGTTTCCTGTTCCGAGGAACTAAAATAATAATAATATTAAATAAAAGATGCTCTCAAAAAGGGGATGTAGCTCAGATGGTAGAGCGCTCGCTTAGCATGCGAGAGGTACGGGGATCGATACCCCGCATCTCCATTTTTGTTGCCTGATGCACTGTGCCTTTTTTTTGCGAATGTTTTTTTGCCTTCTTTATTTTGCAATAACACTGTGGTTTAACCTGTGCCTGATGCACTGTGCCTTTTTTTTGCGAATGTTTTTTTTGCCTTCTTTATTTTGCAATAACACTGTGGTTTAACCTGTGCCTGATGGTTTAACCTGTGCCTGATGCACTGTGCCTTTTTTTTTTTGCGAAATGATGCACTGTGGTTTAACCTGTGCCTGATGTTTTTACTTCAAATGCTCAGTAAAGCTGCTGATAAAAGTTAACAACTTATCAGAGGCCCTCTTTTAACCTCCTGGATTGCAATGACTAAGTACTTTAACCTGTGGCTGATGTTTTTACTTCAAATGCTTAGTAAAGCTGCTGATAAAAAGTTAACAACTTATCAGTGGCCCCTCACAAGATGTATTTCTCTCCCTGGACGAGTGGGGGTGTTATAGCTTGCGCATTCATTATGTGGCATTACTCCGACATAATTTTGCTTGTAGAAAATAGTCAGTACGTAATGCAGATTGTGCTACTCTTATATTGATTAATTTTAAATGCATTTTGGTTTGCATTGAGAAGTTATCTGTAGGGTGAGAATTGACCTTCATACTGCCTATTAATTTGTGCTTGTTGACATCTCTTGCATCAGGAGTTACCAGTTGAATAAAATAAGATTAGAAGAAACATATTGCACATTATAAATATCATACTGATAGATCTAATGCGTCAGCTTTACCCTACTTTTTTTTTTTGCGAGACAGCTTTACCCTACTTCTGGGGTTTCTCCCTTTTGGATATGTGTCTCTTCCAGGGAGCTCAAACTGCTAAGATCGATGGATTAATGATAATGGCTAAAGGCAGCAATTTTCCTGACACTTAACGCAAAAGAGGTTGGCAGCATGAAATCCCCATACATTTCTGGAAAGATTGCATGTAATAACCAGGTAAATTTATTTGGACTACGGTCAGAGCTTGGAGCAACCTGGCGCCTTAAATAACCTGAACTAGAGAGGTTCCATCTACAAAAGACAAATGGTGGTGTAAATGCAGAAACAAATAGAAAAAAAGGAGGGACATTGAAATGATATATTATTCTGGTGGCGGCATGTGTCTGCAAGGAACATAACTGGAGGACCTTCAAAAATTCGGAGACTCGCAATTGAAGTCGCCGGCTCGATTCAATAATGGCAGTAGCAGGAATTCAGCAACTATCTTAAGCAACCAGATTTATAGGAAAAAGTATCAATATTTATCACACCAAAATAGTGTTATTAGATGCACCCTGAAATAATTTTTTGTAGTGTACTTTTTTGAACGAAATTTTTTTGTAGTGTACATGCATTGGTGTCATATGTTAGTACTCTTTCTCGATGAAGTTGGTCAAATTTAAAACAGTTTGACTTGGCATTACTCTAGAAGCTGGTTTATTTTGAGACGAAAGAAATATTAGCATGTACTCGTCCCTGTTTTCTAGGTTGGGATGGTTGATGTCTCGAGTTTGCTGTTTGGTTGGAGAGACGTGGCCATCATTGTTTTTAGTTGTTGTTGGTGGTATCTCAAAATTGGAATTAGGACTCTATCACATGTGTCTAAGTTGTCAACCTTTTTATCTTCTCCTCCTCGTTTTCCTCTCGATCTGCCCCGTGATCGGTGTCCCACTTGAGCTCCCATAGTAGCTGACGCCTATTGCGCTCCCGTGGCCTCCTGCGAGCTTTGAGCACCCCGAGACCCTTGCCTCGTGCCCCATGGCCCCTACGAACCAGCAGTCGCTGGCTCTCCCTATGATCCCCGGTGTTCCATGACCAGCTCCCACATAGTCACCACACTCCTCCCATAGGTACCTAATGAGACCCTCTCCTTCCCACACGCTCGTGTCAACATGTACATCCCTCTTCGTCCGTTCGATTTTGAGGTATCACAAGGGAGGAATCTAAGAGGCATATTTCCTGCTAGGGACTGTCCAATCCCTGTGTCCTAGAACCAAACACTTGAATGACGTGGGATATCCCACATCATACCAATCCTGCTCTGAAACCAAACATATGCTTAGATACTCCCTCTATCCTAGAAAAAAAAACAATTCTTGGTTTTTTGTCCGGGAAAGAATGCAATTCACGTTTTACGAGTATTGCAATTTTAAGTTTGAACAAATCTATACAAAAAGTTACTAATATTAATAATATCAAATAAGTATCGTTAGGTTGACCATAGAATATATTTTCATAATAAACCTTAGAAACATATATGTTGATACGACTTTCCATAAACTTAATCAAACTTGAGTACATTGTTGGCAACTAAGGGTAATCCCAATCCATGGTGTCATACTCCGATATCCA